AGACGATTATGATACCTACATGGCCGCAGGAGATGATCAGGATCTTGCCGTGATTGCAGAAGACAATGATGATGTTTTCGTTACCGCAGGGGATATTCAGGATTGTCCTGTTACCGCGAGGGACAAGGACAATGTTAACATGACTTCGGGAAATGATCATAATTTTGCCGCAATCATTAAATGCGATGATAATGTCCACATTACCACGGGAGACAATGATGATGATTCCGTTATCGCTGAGCGATATTCAGTATTTTACCACGACTGCGGAAGACAGTGATGATATTTTTATGACTGAGGAAGATATTCAGGATTTTGCAGTGACTGCGGAAGACGGTGACCATGTCTTCACAACCGCGAGATATGATGAAACTATTACTCTGAGCTTGATCAAAAACCTCAGACTGGCATATCTCTAATTATAATCAAATCTTTTTTGACATGTTTTGAAAATATCAATATTTACCATAGATAAATAATGTGTTTAAAAGAAGGGTTTAAACTTAAATTGGCTAGTTAGAGTTTTTCATATACTCGAGTATAAAGAATCCAGAATTAATTTTTCTGGTATTGATAATGAGAAATTGAGAATCGATCAATTTTGGAATTGACAAATCATTAGGCCTTCCGGTTGGTACAGTGGATAAGTGTATTAAGTTAAGTTAATTACAATTACAGAATAATTAAGTATAATTTTATTCTAAGCCTGTAATTGGGAAACTGTTAATGAATATAATGATAATGTCGTAAAGATTCTTTGAAAATATTTAACAGGCCTAACTGAAAGTATTATGAAGTAACCTGATTTATATTTGATTCAAACCCAGCTAAATCACTACACAATCCTACTGGTAGCTAGATAACTGTGATAGCAGATTAGCTGGATTGAATCTAAGATGATTGAGTTGTTGGGTCAAAGCTGTTAAACAGACTAGGTAAGTTTACACTACATTGTTGCAACGTGATGACTGCTGCAGCCAAGTGCTAGATAATTTGCTTATTTATCTATTTCGCTCATACTGATTGGATTTATGTGATTTTAAAATTTAAGCATCAGTAATTCAAAATGGAAGGGTATATATTTTTTTAATATTGATTCATTGTAAGAACAAAGACCATGATACCTTGATCTCATATGTAAAAATGTAAGCTAACAACAAAGATAACGAATTCGGAGATCGTGTGCCTAGTAGGCCTATTTTTGGTGTCATAACTTAACGAGCCTAATATTTCTAGTTTTCTTTTGACACTTCAAATAATTTTTAACAGAGTTAGCCTACAAGAAAGCTTTCAAGTTAAAAAACTTAAAGCGGTATTGAGTTTAAATTGTTTATCATCTGACTTATTAAAAGTCTACTAAAATGTTCTTTAAATATAACTTTAATAAGCAATTAAAATATGAAACATTTACCTGTATTAACTGTAGAATACAAAAACGTAGACCTACCACAAGAATATATATAATGAATATTTTAGTGAATATCCAACCAGATAAATGGAAATTTGCTTAGTCTACTAGGTTTGCTGCATTAGCGGTATTTTTTAATGACAAAAATATTTACTAAATCCTCACTAATAATGGAAAACTGTAGCCGTAGCCTTGAACTGTAGCAATAAACTTCTTATGTACAGTAGTCATCTAGTCCTTTTAATATTCCCTCAAAAAATATATGTGTAATAGGAGAATGAATAAAAAGTCTTTCCAGATCCATTCTCCTAAAGAGAGGGGTGGTTTACAACTACTGTAAAATTTTGAGTAAGTTATCCTAATTTTGGATACCTCGGCATCCTGAGATTTGGCAATGTCAACCAATGTTTTAGCAGCAGGGTGAACAATTTCCAGTAGCTTCATGATAGTGGCTCCATCATTTGATATTGTAGCCTTTCCTCCTTGATCAACTATGAGTTTGTCCATGCCCCTGGGTCCGAGTGTGGTTCGGACAGTTTCCACCACTGCTTGGCAGGCATTGATGTTAGATATCAGTTGTGGCTTCCCTTGAGAATTTTCTGTACCCTCTTTCAGTAATATTATTTGTGGTTGCTGAAACACAAATTTGTCAGGATCTTTAACTTAATGTATATTTAGAAATTCTCCCAGAACAATCGTAAAGAGAGGTTACATAACTCTATGTTATTGAAATTATTGTTAAATCAATATTAAATGTTAAACAAACTACTACTCCTGCGCTTTGCAACGGAAAGAGGACGCGGAAGAGAATAATTATGTTATTTATATCTGCTGGTTGAAGTAGTTACAAATATATTATTTTAAATAACAGACCTTAATTTTACCACTCAGTGTAGTAGCTAGTATTTTCTTCATAGGCTACTTGTACAAGGGGTTTAAATTTCCTAGGCAATTTACAGTACTATTACAGTACATAAGTGGTGCTGATGTGTGTGTGTAAAAATACTGTAACTCTATGATTTAATTTGAAAAAAATAAATAGGTTTATCTTTTCAAATCACATAATTTACCTTTGCGTTGACATTTTTATATAGACTAGGGCCTAGATATAAAAACTTCAACGCAAAGGTAAAATTGTGAATTTTCTCATGCTTCCATGGAGACCAATTCATAATTTACATATATTTTATTTAACCATTTATTTTCACTCAACAAAAAAAGTTATTCAACTTTAAAAAAAAAATAAAAAAAAGACATTAGGACCAAGGTACAATACCTATGTTGTACCTCACACCTACATATGTTGTACCTTGGACCACTGATTTTTAAGTAGAGGAAACACATTTAAATATTATCAAATTAATAATTAGTTTTTATTTTATAAAATATAACAAAACTGGCCCTTACAATACATATTTTAATCATATTTTGTAAGAAATTCACTCAAGTTCACTTATAGCTAGTTAAGGCCTACGTAAAATATTCGTCTAACTGTCTTGGGGGCTCTGTCCTGTTCGTTTTTAGCAAATTAAATTACAAATGCCTATAATAAACCTTTTTGACAGAATTATTAACGTCTGCTTTTAGTAGCCTAAGCTACTATGGTCCAAGGTACAAACTACCTATGAGCTAGGTCCCAGGTACAACACCTGGCCATTTTGTAAAAACTTGGTTCTAGACTATTCTAGGTTAGGATTAACATGGTGTGAATCATATGAAACTGTAGCTGAGTTGTTGGATTATAGCATCAAATTGCCAGCTGAGATAAACAATCATTAAATCTAACATAAAAGAAAATTAAAAGTTTAATATACCTACTTTTTCCTTGTAAAAACTTGTTTTAGTTTTCTTGTCAAAAGGACACATTCAATTCCAAATTGAACACATTAGGATAGACCTCTGGTGGCTAAAGCATAAACTAAGGGTACAAGTTCTCCCTTTACTCAACAGATAGTGCCAGTGCCAGAATGAGCATAGGTCCAAGGTACAACACCTTCCCCTAGCCTAGGTTAAGAAAAACAATAAACGGTACGGTATCAGCATTCTGACACATACTTTCTCCCATAAGTTTGTCAACGACCTTTATCCTATGTGTAAGCGGTGAGAGTAAATATACGGAAATAGGATTCGTACAATTTTGTTCAGAATTTAAAGGACTAGGCCTATAACATACTAAATTTTTATCAAAATTGTTCCGGCCATTTTTGGGAAAATCCGACTTTTCCGTTATTTTATGGGGTTTTTATGGGAAAATAACATAATTTACAATACGGTACCGTAACTTTTAACCCATAATTTTTACAGAAATGGGATTTGTACCATTTTGTTCAGAATATAAAAGACTATAACATACTAAATTTTTATCAAAATCGTTCAGGCCATTTTTGGGAAAATCCCATTTTTTCTGCTATTTTATGGGGTTTTATGGGAAAATCCCCATTAAAAATCAAAATTTCTAATAAATTAAAAAACTATCGAAATTGTAAGGACCATAACATACTAGCGTATGT